CCGCAAGGGGATGTCGAGCTCTGAGTCCTGCAGGCTGCACAACCTCCAGCATGAAGATCCTAAGAATCAGAAGGCAGCCACACCCATGACCTCTGGAGCACTGCACTTGGTGAGGAAGATGGAGAGTGTGGGCATCACATGCACCTCCCTTCACCCTCCCGAGCCTCAGTCTCCTCGCCATGCAGCCTGGGTGACGTTTAGCACCCAGGTGCTCAGCAAAGGGCTTCACTTTAATGCAAACATGGAGCAGCAGGGCCAGCTGCAGCTATGGGACACCTGTCAGGTGCTAAGCGCTGTGCAGGCACCCTTTTACTTAATTTCGCCCATGGAGTGCGTACAGTCATTAACATAGGTGCCAGGTGAGGAAAAGAGGTTTCAAGGATCCAAGGGCAGCAGGCAGGTCCATCAGTGTGGAGAAGGATGGGTTGGAAGCGCTTTGGGGTGTCTGAGGATTAGAGGGGGCCAGACAGGGCCGGCTATTCTGACCTTGACCCTCAGGCCCTTGGGACATGCGCCGTGTGGGACTCGGGGGTCTTCTGGAGCCACGAAGCCCGCAGGAGGCCAGCGGGAGGCGCGCACCCGGCGGCTTCAGGACCACGCGGAAGCCGGCGGGGCGGGCCGCCTGGCGGTCGGGCGAGCCGAGGAGAGCCGAGCGCTGCCGAGGGGAGCCGAGCGCCGGCGAGGGAGCCGACCGTCGCCGAGGGGAGCCTCGCCTCGCCGAGAGGAGCCGAGCGCCGCCGAGGGAGCCCAGCGCCGCCGAACGGAGCCGAGCGCCGCCGAGGGAGCCGAGCGCCGCCGAGGGGAGCCGAGCGCCTCCGAGGGAGCCCAGCGCCGCCGAACGGAGCCGAGCGCCGCCGAGGGGAGCCGAGCCCTGGCGAGCGCCGCCAGACGGACGCGAGCGAGCGTGCGGCCAGGGGGCTCGACCGCCGGCGGGGGCGGCGCGGTGACGTCACAGGCGCCGCGCGTGGCGGCCCCGGCGCCGCGGACCCTGCGGAGCGCAGCCGTTCGGGCCCTGGCGCCTGGTGAGTGTGCCCGCGGCGGCTCGGCGCTGGCTGGCAGCGCGGGGAGGGCATGTGCAAAGGCCCGGGGGCAGGCGGGGCGTCGCGGGCACCGAAGCCAGACTCGTGGCTGAGCCGCCTGCGGGCCTCCTGCCTCCCTGTGGGAGGGTGGCCTTTAGCCCAGCGCAGCGGGGAATCCCTAGAGAACTGGGGCGGGGCAGGGCCGCACCCCGCACTGGGTGTGTGTTGGGGGAGGGGGGCCCGCAGGCCGCGTGAAACCTGGGAGCGAAGTTTTCGGTGAGTGTTGCCTGTCAGGTTCGGGGGCAGAGCCAGGCTCGGGAGGGGATTTTGAGCCCCACCTTCTGCAGCATTTTCCAGTGAGAATTTGCTCTGTTGAAAACTACCTGCCCCTCTCTGAGGGACCCTGAGCCCCGCTTGGGAATCAGGTCAAGTGCGCCGTGTTATTCCCCAAGTGACATGCAAACCCTGAAGGGCCTCCCTGCGTGATGATAATGGAGGCCAGGTGAGACGGATGCAAAGCAGGCCCCCAGGTGGCCACTCTGCAGCAGATTCGGGCCCACCTCCTTTTGGGTTCTGTTGTGCGGCCTGGTGACCACTGCAGGCTTCCTGGAGGCTTCGGGGCGCTAGGGGGCTACTCAGACCCAGGCTTGAGGGCCTGATGCCACTTGGGGATCTGACTGGTGCCTGTCCCAGGGCTGGCCACTCGAGGCCTGGCCTACACTTGGCCCCAGCTTTCTGCCAGCAGGTCCTGTGGCTGTGCTTGCCTTGCTATTGGCCTGATAGGCTGGAGCTGAGGGATCTGTCTCAGAATGAACTACCCCACCCCACCCCCAAATGCACTCCCAGTATGGCAGGAAACCTTAAGGCCATCTCTACCCAGCAGCCAGAAGATCTGTCAAACACAAATTAGATCAGGTCTCACCCCAGGCACCCCGTTACACTTTTGAGCTCCACATCACATGCCCAATTGTGTCACATCCTCTACGGCCACTTGCCTTCGCTTAGTCCCCTCCAGCTGACCAGCCTTCTGGAAAGGCCTGAACTTGTTACCAGCTGACAGCTTTACACTTGTTCTCCCCATGTTGCAGCGCCCGCAGCCCAGGCTGGCTGGGCCTCCAGGCAGCTGTCCTGACCTCTTCCAGAACGGCCCCACCCACTGTGTCCTGCCACCTTGCTGAATTCCGTCTGTGCTTCATCACTAGCTGGAAGGTTCTCGTTCCTTTAGTTTCATATTTAGTTATTTACTGAGGGCCTAAATGTGAACTCCCTGAGAGCAGGGACCAAACTTCTCCAGTTCCCTGGCTGACAGTAGTGCCCGGAACATAGTGGGTGCTCAGTGAATGTTATGCGAGCGTCAAGTGTCACTTATGGAGCCGAGCCCCATTCAGACATGCTCTGCCAAGTTCGTGCTAAGTGCTTTCTCTGCGTCACCTCATGGAAGAGGCTCAGCCCTCCACTTCCTGGGGGACTCCTGTGGGCCCTGCACTCTGCCTCCATGGGACAGTAAGTGTCTGCTCCTGAGATTGGGTGGCTCAGCAGGCTGAGGTGAGGGCGGGGATCATGCACAGGAGTCCTCCCTCTCCCCTACCCCACTCCCCAAGAAATCCCTTGCCTTTAGGATTTTGCAAGTCTCGGCTATCACTTTTGAGCTGTGTGTCCCCAAGTAACTGACTGTACCTCTCTGAGCCTCCATTTCCTTATCTCTAAAATGAAGCCCCGGCTCAGGGGCAGCTTTGCTGCTGGCCAGAGGCTGTTCCGGCATCTGCACACAGTCCCACGGCACTGGAGCAGCCCCTTTCCCCTTCGGCCCAGCTCACCCACTCTGGGGAAAGCATCCCGCAGTACCTGGGCCCCCAGCACAGCACCCGCCCCCCACAACCCTCCTCTCACTTTTCATTCTTGTAAATTGACGTCAGTGCTGCTGAATCATGAGCTGAGGTTTGAGAGCTAGAGAATCTGCACCGCCAAGAAAGCCACATGGCACACACTGCCCCCAGCCCTTTCCTCTGCAGCGCGCACGGCGTCAGCCACACGGCCAGTGCAGCTCCGGGGGCTGCGGTCACTCTCGGCCACTGTTCGTGTTAGTATAGACATTTAAAAAGTGACTGACCAAGGATAGAAGGGGTCAGCTCCGGGGAATGGGATCAGACGGGCCCTATTCTCGGCTGTTTGGCTCCAGGGTTCATAAAGGAAATGGACTTGTGGGATGAAGATTTGATTTTTTAACTTTTTTTTTTAAAGGAGGGCTTTTTAAAAGGAGCATAGTATCAACCACCTGTTAATTCACCCGTCTCGGGCTGGCTCCTGTTTCCTCCTCGGTTCAGTGGAGATGTTAACAGCACCTAAGTCATAAGGGAGGGGGGCAGAAGGGGGTACCTGGAGGCCACAGGTAGATCTCAGTAGCAGCGCTGCTGTTACTGTGCCCTTGCTGGGCCCCGTGTGTTGGCTCGTAGTCCCCAACCCTGGAAGCAGCACTAGGTGTGGAAACCTGGCTCCAGCACTTGCTGTGCCCCCTCTTTGCCTCTGAACCCAGGTTTTCCCATCTGTCCAATGGGGCAGGACTTTCTGACTCACAGGCGGGTTGTGAGGGGGACAAGGGCTGTACAGGGCCTGCATACAGCACGCACTGTCTGCTCTACGCTTAGCACGGTCTTCTTGGACTTTGTTTCTCCACGTCTGGACCGGAGAGACAGGAGCTGCGGAGCCTCAGGACAAGGTCAGAACTCACTGCCCACAGCAGAGAATGAAGGGCAGGAAGGGGGCTCATAGATTAAGCAGCCATTCCTCGGGGGCACAGAGACAAGACGCCCCTTCCTGTCGCCTCCTTCCCACCTCTTCCCGCCGTATTGAAGGATAAAACTGGCTCGGCTCTCTGAGATCCTGAATCTCTCCTGGCCAGCCTCAACCTTGAGCCTGGAACCTACCTGATCCCCAGGACAATCCTGGGCTGCTCCAGTGCTCAACTCTCAAGTTCACTTTCAGGTGCACTTTGGAGTCTGAAAGATGTCCTTAAATACCAGGACCCTGCATTACAGGCGTGTCCTAGGCGACTGAGGGGCCATCCTAACTTCTGAAAACGTAAGCGTGGCATGTCCAAGAGACGGCTTAGCCCCGAACCTGGAAATGACGCAGTTGGGGAGGTGCAGAAGCACAGCCTGGAGTTGCCAAGTTTGTCAGGCGGGCCGAGGACACAGGAGCAGCCAGAAAACCCAAACCTGCGCCTTGGCGAGCCCTGGAGCGACCCTGCCCCGGGCCGCTGAAAGCATCACCTCCCACACAGTGCCCAGCGCCCGTGGAGGGTCACAGCAGTCCCTCCTGCCGCAAGCTGAGGCCCGGAGAGGCCAAGGGACTTGCCCGTCGCTGCCAGCAGGGCCCTCCTGCCACCGCCACCACAAACCACAGAGCAACTTTCTGGATCCAAGTTGCGTGCTCACCAAAAAATACAGGAGACAGAAGGGCGCGGAAGAGGCTTGTCACCCCCCTGCATCCCATCTGAAGAAGTCTCAGGATGTGCTGCTCCTCCTTCCAAACACTCATCGCCTCCACCTCCCCGCCCCTCCCACCCCCTTCCTGGAAGTTGTTGTGGTCATAGAATGAAAGAAGTTTCCTCTCTGTCATCCATTTCAAAGAGTCTCCGCGGACAGCCAACACAAGGCCAGAGTGTCACCTTTGCCATGGGAGTGACCACACATTTACCCCCGCCCCGGTTTTCTGGGGGGACAGGCTAAGAGCCTGTGTCTCCAGAAAATCAAGGACACTTCAGCAGGGCAAGCTCAGAAGGGTCTCAAACATCAGCTGCCATTTTACCAGACACACCACCCAGCTAGCCCAGCGTTCCTGTCCCCAGAGCTGCAGGCGAAAAGCAAGCAGGGTGGCCTGCCCAGGAACAGGGCCGCCACCTTCAGACCCCTCTCCCTTGGAACCGGTAGGGGCCAAGCCACCCCTGGACCAAAGCACACGCCCTAGAAGCCTTTTTTCTTTAAAAAAAAACTTTTATAATAAAGTTTATTATCTAAACTGGTGTAAAAAATATAAAATAGGATTCTGCATAGCAGAAAAATAAAGCCAGAGACCCTCCCCCAACCCCTGGTTTGTGCAAAGATACTGGGTATATGTAAACATGAGGAGGTAGGAGGGAGTTCAGGTCCTGGCCCCAGACAGTTGCTACAACCAGGGGGACCCAGAGGGAGCACCAGGAGGGGGACGCGCCCCCCCCCCAGAGGTGGGGAGGGCCTGCAGCCTCCTCTCCAGCCAAGAGGGAGCGGCACCCTGCCCCCACCCGCTCCCTCCAACCCAGGTGGGGAGGGCACCCCCATGGTTCCAGAGAAATCATAGTAATAGAAGGGAATAACAGGGTGCCCCCGTTAATGCTGCCTGCGCTGCCAGTCAGATCTGGTAGGGGAAGGAGCTCAAGTAATCACGCAGAACGGGGTTGAGGGGGATGCGCGCCAGGTTCTCACGGCCCACGGTGGCCACGATGCGCTGGCGGCACAGCTCCTGCAGCGGCCGCACGCGGCGCTGGCGCAGGGGGGCCCCCAGCATGCGGCGCGGCGCCGCCACGTAGTGCTCCAGCAGCTCGAAGAGGCAGTCGAAGCTCTCGCGGCTGCCGTCCAGGTGGAAGCGGCCGGCCTGGAAGTGCACGCGGATGCTGGTGGGGCCCGAGGCCATCTTCACGCTGAGCGCGAAGAAGCAGTTCCGCTGGCGGCTGTCGCGCACCAGGAAGGTGCCCACGGGCTCGGCGCGCAGCCGCTCGTGCGCCCCGTGCACGCTCAGGGGCCCCCAGTAGAAGCCGCAGGCGTCGAGGAGCGCGCTGGCGCGCGTGATGCGCCGGTACTCGGCGTGCGAGCGGAACGTGCGGAAGTGCGTCTCGCCGGGGGCCGGCGCCGGGACGGCCGGGCAGGGCCGGGGCGCGCGGGCGCCGCGGGCGGGGAGGGGGAGGGGGAGGGAGGCTCGGGCCGCCGTCGGGGCTCTGCTGCCGCGGAGATTGCATTGTCGGCTGCCACCTGGTTGTGCGCCACCATCCTACACGCGGGGCCGGCCGGAGGGGTGGGCCATAGCGTCCGGGGGTGCGCTGCCGGGAAGACAGAGCCGTGAGCGGGGCCGCGCGGACGGGACGGCGGGCGGGGGCTGCCGCGCCCCCGGCGAGGGCGGGGCTCGAGGCGTCGGGCCGGGCCCGCGGCCCCCGGGGGCCTCGGGGGCTCCCCCGGGAGCGGGCTGTCCGGCGCCGCGCGCGTCCCGGCGGCGGGGCGCTCGGCGGGGGCGGAGTCCGGCCCGCGGGTCCCGAGCCCGGGGGAGAGGGGGCGTGGAGAGGCCCGGGAGCGCCCGCCGCGCCTCCGGCCGCCCGCCCCGCGCCTGCCGCCTGCTGGCCAGGCCGGGGAGCGCCGCGTCCCGGCGCGCCGGGCTCCGGCAGGCGCGGGGCTGCGCCGGGGCGCCCCGCGCCGGGCACCGCCAGGGTGGGGCCGCGGGGCCGGGGGCGAGGCGGGCGCACGCCCACCGCGCGCACCCCGAGGCGGCCGGCCCTGCTCCCCCCTCCCGGCCCTCGCTCCCTCCCGCTGCGCGCCCAGAGCCCGGCTCACCTGGCGGCGGGGCGCGGGGCGCCGCGGGCGGGGCGGCGGGGGGCTCCGGGGCGGCTCTCGCGCATGCTCCGGGGCCGGGAGCCGTGCAGCTGCCACGGCCGCAGCTCGCTCTGCTCGGCGCCCGCCCCTGCAGCGGCCTTTTAACCGCTGGGAGGAGCGCGGCCCCGCCCCGCGCCCGCCCCGGGCCCGCCCCCCGCTTTCGGTTTCTCTTTCCGCGCAGGACGCTCGGCCCCGCCGCGTCCTCCCGGAGCCCGCCCCGGCCTCGCGGCGCTCGCGGGGTCCCTGCGTCCGGCCCTCCCCCGAGACGTCTGGCCACTTCGTGGGCGCCCCCTTTGCACCCGGCGCCCCTTCTTTCGCCCCGTATGCCCTCGACGACGGATGCAGCGGCCAGAGGCTCCGGGATGCGCTGGAGTGGCCCCGACACACCCTCCTCCGGGCCAGACGCCTGGGCTCCGGCCCCGGCGCTTCTCTGGGCTCCGCTCCCTCGAGCCGGCTCTGCCCGCCCGCCCGGGGGTCCGGCCTGGAGGACCCGACCGCGGCCCCGCGGGACAGCGCCCGGCGCCTCGGGCGGCCGCGCTGCCCCTCCCGGCCTGGCGGCGCCCGGCCCGGCTCGGGATTCGCGGGAAGCAGCGCCGCGACCGCAGGCTTCGGAGGAACCCGGGCGCGGGAGGCGCGCGTCCTGGGGCAGTTCCCCGGAATCCAGGCGCGGTCGGCGAGGCCCCGAGTGACCTCGCTCGCCCTCGCGGCTCCCGCAAAGCTGAAGAAACAGAGACTGGGGGGTGCGGTGATTGGCAGGCGGGGAGCTCCGGACGCAGCCGCCCTCCTCGCTTTTATTTTGGGGAGAGGAGCAACTGGGCGCCACCAGATGCGCTTTGGAGCCCGAGGAAATAGTGGTTCCTTCCCAGCTGTGACGATGCCAGAAACCTTCCCTGAGCTCTCCTGGCCAGCCCTCCTCTCCCCCGCCGCTCCCCCAAATTCCCTTCTGGGGCTCAGGCCCGCGTGTGCCCCCGCCCTGCGCTGCGCCCCTGCCCGGGGATGCCGGCTTGCGGGGCAGGCTCTGCCGTGTGCATTTGTGTGGCTCGGCGCTCGCGCCTCTCGTGCAAACCTGGGCATGGGGGCCTGGCTGCTACATGTATTTTTGAAGGAGAAAGAGAGCCCATGAGGATTGGGGTGGGGTGGGAGCCAGTCTGTCCCAGGGGTGTCAAGCCTGCGGGGCGCGGGGAGAGGGCGGCCTCGCGCTGGTACACACTGCCCCCTGCAGGCCGCTCTGAGGCCCGCGCCCGCGGCCCCGCTGCAACCCTGATCCTCCTGCCTTCTCCCCAGGGTCCTTCCCCAGACCCAGCTGCTCCCAGCCCCCCCAACCCCATCGCGCCCCCCCCCACACACCTGGTATCCTCCTGCATACTGAGGGTGGCCCAAAGGCAGCCTTGCTTTGGACTCCACGGGTTCCCTGAATTCGTTTGTGACAGTGTCTGGTGCTGGCCATCGACACGGTTGCCTTGGGTCTTGTGCATAGGTGTGAGCATGCATGGGTGTGCAAGGGGATGAGAGAGAAGGTGCAGAACCACTCATGTGCGGTGGTCATCCAGAGCACCTGTTGCGCCTTTGCGCCTGTGCCCTGCGGTGGGTGTGGTGGGTGATGAATAAAATATAAAGCAGTGGGTAAAAGCCAGACTTTGGCCCTAGACTGTTTCTGGACCTTTCCAGCCTTGTGCCTTTGGCATGCAGTTCACCCCCTGCCTGGTTTCTTCATCTGGGAAACAGAAGTGATACCGGTACTTCCCTCCCGGCACCCAGGATGGAATGAGTGTTACGTAGGCCAGCCCCTCGCTCACGAGCATCCCATAGACCTGTGCTGTCCTTGCTGTTGTCCAAACGAGGGTGCCTATGGTGTGGCAGAGCCCGCAGGCACTTGGCCATGGCTCCTGTGCTCCTAGAAGCTCCAGCCCAAGGGTCTTAGCCAGAAAAGCCGTGGGTGAGTGGGAGGAGAGTTTCTTGGGGTGTGAATCAGGCCCCCCATGGGGACAGCGTGAAAGAGCAGCACCTTCTCCCTTGAGTTGTGGATTGGCCAGGCCCGGAGGAGGCTGTCTTGTCTTGTCTACATGGCTTGTCTTCCTGCCAGCATGTCTCCTTGGGAGCCCTCCCGGCAGAGGGAAACCCATAAATAGCTGATGGCCGATGGGCCCTGCACCCCCTGATGATGGCCTTCCTCCACCCCAGGACCAGGCCTTCCCCTTGGCCATACTCAAAACGTCCAGGTGGGGTCTACTCCTTCCCCTTGTTTGCTGATTCCTGGGATGTACCAGCCTCAACGGCCTGTGCTGAAAGTGTTAGCCCTTGGGCCACTGGGGGGGCACCGTCATGAGCCCGCTTTACAGAGAGAACTGAGGCACGGAGGGGGAGTCACTTGCCCAGGAGCACACAACTCAGAAGGGACAGGGTAGAGATTCCTACCCAGGCTCTCAGGCCACCAAGCATCTCTGCCCTTGTCCTCTGCTGTGAGCCTCCTCCCTCCAGGCCTGCCGCTTTCCCTCCCAAGTTGGGAGGCCCTGGGTGTTGGCCTCCGCCTGGCCCTCTGTGGCTTGGGCCATCTGAGTCTCAGTTTCCTGGCCTGTCCAGTGGGCCTGGCGCCAATCTCTGTAGCCAGTGCCTACTTGTGAAAGCTGAGATGAGTCAGGCACACGTGAGCCCTTCTCACCATTTTGGTTACCATGGCTTTGGTTTCATTTTCTGAATCCTAAGTTCAAAACGAAACCAAGTCCAGTTGCCAGAGGGAAAAAGAAATATGCTGATTGACAGGCACCTGACTTTTGGGCCCGACTCCACAGAGCAGGGCACTGGGCCCTCAGGAAGCTGAGCCTTGGGCCCTGAGGAGCTCAGACTCCACAGCCCAAGAGGCTGCCTTCAGCTGCCCACTTGTGTGACCTGGGGCAAGCAGCTTCCCCCACACACATCTCATTTGCCTCTTCTGCAAAATGAGCCCTGCAAGTTTTGTACCTCACGGCGCAGCCATGCATGCAAAGCCCAAAGCCAGGCACAGAGACCATGCCGGCACAAGGTGCTGGGACAGCCCTAGGTCCGTGCCTGCTGAGCCACAGCCAGGCCAGCCCCGCACCCCGCAGCCGCCTGGAGGAGCAGCACCTCCCCCCACCACACCCCCTGGCTGTGAGGGACCCAGCCAGCAGCCGGGGACTTAGAGCCTAGTCTCTTCTCGAGGTTTCAGTTTCTCTTTCCAGCCATGGCAGTGTCCTGCTGGGAAAAGCAACCCTGCTCAGGGTGAGTGATGCTGCAGCCACCCCAAACCCCAGCGTGCTGCACGCCCTCTTCTGCAACATGAGGAGGAGCCAAGCTTCCCCGGGGCCCCAGCCTTGGGGAGCCCCAGCAGTGGGCTGAGGGCATGGATTCGGTTCTCAGCTGCGTGGGTTTCTGTCTGCCACTTAGTAAGCCTGAGGCCGGGGCCTCAGGAGGTGGCAATAACATCTCTTTGCTCCTGGAGTATTCCTTCAGCAGGTGTTTATGAAGTGCCTGCCCTCTACTAGGCATGGGGGCTGGGGTCTCTAGCAGACATAGGGGGAGATTGTGAACCCCACAATCGTTTTAGATGCAGGTAAGTGCTGGGGAGGAATTAAGCAGGGACTGGGGGACTGGGAGGTGTTTGTGGGGTGGGAGAGGAGAGAGAAAAGAAAGTCAAGGAAAGTGTGGTCGCCTCACAGTTGAGAACTTTCTAAAAGTGGGTGACGAAGACTCCAGAAGCAAGAATAGCCAGTGCAAAGGTCTTGTGGTGAGTGGTTGGCATGCTTGAGGAGCAGAGAGGAGAGGTGAGTGGTTGGTGTAGAGAGCAAAGGAGAGTGTAGGGGTGAGGCTGAGGGCTGACTGGGGCCCATGGGCAGGCTGGCCCTGGTGGGGGGAGGGAGGGGCTTGGATTTCACGATGGCTCCTTAAAGGCCAGGAGCCGCCAGAGGGTCAGTCCCTGCTCACTTTCCATACAGCCAGGCCTTCAGCCATGATGACCTTGGAAAGCATGTGTCGCCGCTTCCCAGAGGAGAATGGCCCTGTTCTGGTGAGAGCTGGTGGGATTTGGCCGACACATTTTGGAGAACCCTCGGGCTTGGCCAGTTCCCACCCCGAATCTCTGTCTGACAGCTTTTTGTGTGAGGCAGAACCTGGCCCCGTGCCGTTCGCACCTCAGGAGAGAGTGTTCCGGCAGGCCAGGGCTGGGCGGCCGACACTCAAGTGCAAGGATGAGGAGGCTAGAAAGGCTGGGAGCAACGACATGAGGTAGTGGCTAGACTCCAAAGTGACGACAGGCAGGCTCCCCGGCCATCTAGGGTGACCGGAGAACCTCCCAGCAGGCCCATTATCCTCAGGTGACAGGTGAGGACAGGAAAATGAGTCTGAGACTAGGTGACGTCGCTGGTGTGAGCCGCGTTGCGGAAGCTATCCTCTTGTGAATAACTGCAGGAGAGTGGGTTTCTGGGGCAGACACACCTGGTTCCAGGGGTTCCCCTCCCCACACCCTGCCTCCGGAAGGTGACTCTTCCCCAAACCCTGGCAGGCCAGGCCAGGACCTCCTGAGCAGTGACGTCCTCAGGACCTTGCTCAGCCTATATTCTATTTTTATACACTATTCTAATAAGCCCATCTGGGTGCCGCCCCAGAGGTGGCAAATTAGGTATCTGCCGCTGACAGCAAGAAGCAGTAGCAGTTACTTTCGGCAGTTGACATTGAGAGGGAAAAATTCACACAGTTTACGACACCGAACTCAAGACACACCAGACCGAGCAGAGTCAGAGGCCGACGAGTCCTGGGCTCCCGGCCCTCGCTGTAATGGCGGGCCAGAGCGCCAGGCCCAGTTCTCTGTGAAGCCTCTTGTTTCGGGGGACACAGACCAGCAGCAGGCTCCACAGCAGCCCATGTGGGAGGCCCAGAGTCGGCTGGCGTAAGCCGCAGCTCCTGGCCAAGCTGCAGTAGGAGGAGGTGATCCTTGACCTGAATTTTAAAGAACAAGTGGAATTTAGCCCAGGGAAGAGGCAAGAGGGCATGCCTGGCAGAGTGGAATACCAGCAATGGAGGATTCGCGTGGCCGGAGACGAAGCTCAAGGCAGGTAGGAGAGCCTCCCTCAGAGGCTCCCTGAGGAGACTGGTGGGGGCGGGGGAGTAGCCAGAGGCTGGCTAGACCTGGCCCTGCCCTGGGCTCTCCCCTCTGGGGAGAGCCTTCTGGGTGGTCACCGTGCACAGGCCTGCAGGCCCAGAAAGGAATGGAAGCCATTGCCCCTGAGAAGAGAATGGCCGATCATTTACCTGTGTCATTCCTGGACCATCTCTTTTCTGAGTCACAGAGCTTTGCTGAGCCCCTACTAGATGCTGACTCGCCTTCCTTTTTTCTCCTCACTTTTTCTTCATTTCCTTGTGTAAAGTACTTAAAGCATTTCCCCTTCCGGAGGTAGCCCCAGGCACCAATGTGGTCTGTGTCCTTCCAGATCTCTCTCTGTGCACTTACATACCTTCACTTCCCCCATAAAAATACAGTACTGACTCAGAGAATTTTTCCTTCTCTAAATGGCCACGTGGTTCTGAACACCATGCACCATCCAACACAGCCTGGCGATCTGGGTAGATCACATGTAAACCAACCCCATTCTCTTTAAAAGCCACATCAGTTCCTCAGTGTGAACCTGGGTGTTCATTCTGCCACCCCCTGTGGATGCACACCTAGGTCATGTCCAGTTTTGCTCTTGCAAACAACGTGACCCTGAACCTCCATGAGCAGCCGCTTCCCACACAGGTTTGAGAAGCACCTGCACCCTTTGTTACTGTCTGTCAGTGTCACATTTCACCCCATCTGATTACACAGTATCTGCCTCCCTAGTATTTGCTATTAGCAGCCGTTTTCTGGTTTGCCCTTCGACAGGTCCGCAAGTCGCGTCTCGCTGTTATTGTCACTCCTGCTAGTTCTTGCATCTGTCCAGCAAGTGTCCACTGGGCTCCTGTTGTGCCAGGCTCCATGCTACATGCTGGGGATGCAGCAACAAGGAGTGGCCTGGCACCTCTTCACAAAATAAGGCTCAGAGAGGTGAAGAGACAGGCGCCTAGGGGACTGGGTTGCTGGTGGTTGTATCTCAGTCTGTGTGGCCCCAGAGTTGGGTTTATTATTTCCCCGGACCAGTACCCCAAGGGACATCACAGCCCACAGGACCTGTACTCTTCCCTGACGGCTTCCCTCTCCCCTGGGTTGGTGGGTCCCTTAGTGTGCACAGGGCCTACAGGAATGCCGGCTAGGCAGAGTCATCGCCAACCTCACTTCACCCCCAGAACCCGCAGAAAGGACATCTCAGCCAGAAGGGAGGGCATCTCAGCTTCAGGCTGTGTCGCCTCAGTGGCCTTGTTCACCATCTGTGTCTCTGTTTCCTGAACCTGGGTTTCCAGCAGGCCCGCCCCACCCCAAACCAAGCAAGTGAAAGAATGAATCTGTGGTTTGTTTTTTTCCCTCTTGTCATGGTGTGTCTGACCGAACGGGTAGACGTGAGTAACAGGTCCTCACCTGGTGTCTCAGTGTGGAGGGGAGGTATTTGCAGGCCTGCCTGCATGTGCAGGGGAGTATTGGGAGTCATATACGAACCGAGGTCCCTGTCTGAGTGGGTTTGGGTGGTGATTTCTTTGGATCCGTAACTGTGCATCTGTGTGTGTCTGTGCCACGTTTCCCTGAGTTCTTGCATCTATCTTGACCTGTCCAGCAAGTGTCCACTGGGCTCCTTGAACCACGCACATCCTATCTACTTCCGAATTCTCTTTCTCTATAATTGAAGCTCCTGCCTTAAGTGATCATATCATGAAAGGACACTGTCTAGGGGATCAGGGCACTCCTTGCTGAGTGGTGATACAAGCCCCTGACCTTATCCTCTGGCCCTGTTTCTACCTCCATACTTAGACAAACTTTTCACTGACGTGTTAGTGACTCTCATGGCTTAAAATGACATTTTAAAATAAGGAACATGGATGTTGTAGGCAAAGAAAGCAGCTCTGATCTCAGACCTGCCCTCGAAGAGACTTTGATCACATCATACTGAGAAAGTGATGCGTCTGCTGAGGGTGTGGATTCAGTGGAAACATTTATGTCAAAACCTCTCACCCCAGTAGGTGCTCAATGCAAGGTACTTCTCTGCCTGAGCCCTTCTGCACCCTCTCATGGCATGCGTGGTACCAATCTGGAACATTCCCTGTGGACCCGACCATGTCCCAGGCCCTCTGCTGGATGCTGCCACGTGCGTTGGCCCAGTGCATCCCAGGTGACCCCCATTTTATAGGGGGCGAACCTCTGTGCAGCAGGCGTATTAAGGCCACGCAGCTGAGATCTGAAAGAGGAGCTGTCACTGGCTCAGCTGATCACAGAGTCCTGCAGAAGTTAGACTTCCACATTTATTTTTGAGATATGACTTATGAGTTACGTAATGATTCCATGTCAGCGCAATGAGTCCACCCCCCAGGCTCGGCTGCGTGATTCCCCGGCCCCTTTCCTCTGCAGACACGCCCATCATTTCCACTCTGGTCCCAACTCCCAACTCCACCTGTTCCACCCCATCTCTTTCACCCAAACGGGGTTCAACAAACGGGAATAAGCACCTCTGAGCTCAGTGCTGTGCTAGGCGCCTTCCCACGCACCAGGCAGCTAAACCCGCTGGGGTTGGAATTATCCAAGGCTTGTGGGTTTAAAGGACAGAAGGTAAATGACTTGGGGCCCTGACTGTACCCTCATCCTATTGTCATCTGGCAACTGACATGCTGTATCAATAGCGAGGCTGCCCCGTGCCCTCTCCGTGCCACGAGCAGCTCCTGATCCCGCCCAGCCACGAAGACTGAGGTTTGCTCGCAGTAATTTGCAACCCCGTGGGCACAGGACTCTGCCCACCTTTGCCTTCCCTTCTAGCCCTTAGCCTGGCGCGAACAAGTAGGTGCTCAGTAAATGTTTGCTGACGTCTAACCCTGAAGCCACCCTCCAGCCTGGCCACCATGCTAATGTCCAAGCTCCCCATGACTCGCAGTCCCCCACGTGACCTGACCCGGTCTGGCGTCCCCCTCCTGTCCTGCTGTCTGCATGGCCGGTATCAGCCATTCTCGTCCTTTCCCTCCTCGGGGTTCTTGCATACGCTGTTCCCTAGGTGTGGAGTGTCCTCTCAGGTCTCCACCAGCCCGCCCAACCGCCGCGCGCCAGAGCTGCTCCCCTGACGCAGCTTCTCCTGTTTACATATTTGTGTTGTCTGGACTGGGTCGTGTTCCCAGAGCCTAGCACAACCCTGAAAGAAATACGTTTAGTACCTTGTGTGTGTTGAAACAGGTGAAGCTCAGAGACAGAGCACCAGCCCAAGGATGCAGCAGGGAAGCAACATGAGCAGGATTCGACCTCAGGCTGCTCTGGACTGCAAAATGCAGCTGCCTAGCCCCTCTGATGGCTGTCTCCTGCTGTGGTCCTGGGTTGCTGCAGCACTGGGGTGTGGGCCTGGGTGCGCGCGCGTGTGTGTGTGTGTGTGTGTGTGTGTGAGACATGTGTGTGTGTGTGTGTGTGTGTGTGTGTGTGTGAGACACATGTAAGGCAAAGGGACTCTGTCCAAGCAGAGCGTTGCCCGTTGCTCCATCTGGCTGAGCTGCCATCTGTCTCCCCCCGTTATTTCTCTCCTGCACTGCCCTTGGCTCCTTATCTTTCATGAAGCCCCATGAAAGTGCACGAGGGCAGGGGGCGGCCCCTTCCCTGCCTCGTGCTTCCCTCCCAGGTCCCACAAAGCATATTAGCGAAATCAAAATGCCACTCAAGGACGGCCATCCAGTGTACGCTTTAATCATTGCCGCATAGAAATCACTGTAGTAACATGTTCCTGCAAAAAGTTTGACTTCCGCCTAGCATTCCACGCGTGATGACATTTCTCCATTGAGTGAAACTGACACAGGAACAAGCCGTGGGGAACCATCTCACTTGCGCTTCTGTCCTGAGGGATAAGACCGGGAAAGCACCTTTTAGCAGCTGAGTGCTTCATACAGTCTCTTAACTTTTGGGGGGCAAGGGGCACTGTGGACTGCTCGTTTGTAAAAGTGGGGGCATGGAATAACTTAGACTATGGTCAAGGTCCTTTTGACCTATACATGAATCCATCCCTCCCTCCCTCCCTCCCTCCCTCCCTCCCTCCATCCCTGCATCCATGAGTTCAGCCATTTATCCAACATTTGTTTCATTCCTTCAACTATAGCCAGATTACCCGTCCAGTCTATCAGTCCATCCACCCATTTGTCCATCCACCCATGATCCCTCTGGCTAATCTCTCATCTGTCCATGCAACCAACCCATCCAGCTTATTGGCAGAGCCAGTCCAGCCAGGATCATGTCTCACCTGCCATGACACCTCTGTGCTCTGGCGTTAAGACTGCACCCTTGTGGCATTGTCCCTGAGGTCTAGCTGGGTCGCCCCTCCTCATCTAAGGGACCCTATGGCCCTCCCCTACCTGCTTGAAAGTTACCTGAGCCCCGCCTCTTTGTCTTGTGCCCCCGCTGGCTCTTCTTGAGTACCTTCCTCTTGTTCACCTTTCCTTCCAAGGTCTTTCTCTTCTTGGGGCAGCTGCTGGAATGGGTGGTGGGCCGCAGGCGGCAGTGGTGGGGGTGCATGGCGTGTTTGTGATTCCTGGGTGGCAGGCTGGGGCTGGGACTCTGGCTCGGGGAAGCCACTGTGCTGCAGTGGCTGGCTGGACTCTGGCTGGAGCTCCGGCTGCAGCTCTGGCTACAGTTTTGGCAGTGGTGGCTGCAGTTGCACTGGCTGCAGGGGTGGCCTTGGGGCCTGGAGTTGCTGTGAGGCTGGGTGTGGGTGATGGAAAGGTTCTGTGTCTTGGTGTCCATGGGAGGCTGCACTTGGAGGGGCAGAGGCCACCTCCTCCCCCACTTCCAGCACACCCAGATTTGCAGAGGCCTGGGCGGCCCCAGGTTATATAGCTGGGGCTGATTGTGATGGCATAGGTCACAGGAGGGTAACAGAGGCCGCTCTTACCCTAGCCCCAGGGGTGGGGCAGCTATCAGGGCTACATGGGGTTGGTGTAGAGTGGGGACTCGAATCGAGTTGAACTGGGTCCACATCCCACACCCTCTCCTTCCTTTCCTTACCGTCACTGCTCCAAGCCCCCACCCCTTGTTTCCCTCTCTTTAGAGAACAGGGACAATAAAAATAACTACCTCCTAGGGATGTGGCCGAGATCAGTTAGGGGCTCTGTGGCTGGCCGCTGGCTCAGTAAGCGCTCCACAAACTTGGTTGTCTAAGCATCTCTCTCCTTTCTCCACCGAGGCGGCTGGGGTGCCAGGAGCACATCCGACCCGTGATAGTTGGCTGGGCACCGAGATAGATGAAAGTGTCGGGTGGATGGTGCCTGGGCTGGGTGACTTAGGGGGCGGAGGAATGGTAAGAGTGACCGAATGGCCTGCTGGGTGGTCTTGGGGTCCCTAGCTGCCCAAACCCACCTCCCCAGCAAGATTTAAAGTCAAGAGATTTAGGGCCTCTCTGGTGGCACAGGGGTTAAGCCTCAGCACTATGAAGCTATCTGCAGCCACTGAGCCACGAGTTTGATCCCCGGCCAGAGAGCTACCCACAGGGCACAGCAGACCTCTCCTGTCTCCCCGCTGCTCCCCAAGGCAGTGTATTTCAGTAGATCTGCCTGTTCTGCTCCCCACTCTGTCTTTGGTGAATCACCCCCTGCACCTCTGGCCTACACCCCAGTTCTTGTATGCATAAATAAATAAATCTTTTAAATAAATAAAGTCAGATTTAGAGACAGGTCCAAATGCCAGTTTATACTGATGTCCAGTAGTAGGTAAGACATACTGGGTTGAGGCCTAGTTTCCTGTCTGACCAAAGAGCACCATCCCTTCCCGGGATGCTTGTGAGCCTGGGAGGCCTGGAAGCCCCAGGAGCCCGGAAGACCTGCACCTCCCTCCAATCACTTGGCATCCACCACCCACTCAGACCTCCCTCCGCCTTGGAAGATGCCCTAACCTGTGTCAGGCCCCCGTCCTGGGTGTGCTGCCCACGGCCACCCAGCCTCCCAACCTCAGTGATCACCCACGGCCTTAGCTCTTCACCACTCGCCTCCCCTACCCCTTTTCACCCCATTAAACTCCCTCCGCCTGGCAGGGCCCCCCCAAGCCTGCTTCTCCCTCTTGTTGCTCACAGTACCTTTGCCCCTTATATGAGGATTTGCGTCGTCAGCTTTCCTGGAGGTTTATTTCTTAACCCACATGTTGTGTTTAATAAACACGATGTTCACCATGCATATCACCGTCATTTAACAGAGCTTCCCACGTGGGGAGTCTCGGGGGCTGAGCGTGGCCCCCAAAGATATCCACATCCTCACCCCCTGACAATGGGACCTTATTTGGAGAAAACATCTGGCAGATGTAATCGCGGCAGAGATCTTGACAGCACCCAGATCAAGTGTCCTTGTGAGACACAGGAGACCCGCCGGGACCGCGGGAGGCCGAGGCGGTGGATAGAGGGACGGGAAGACCTGGAGCTGTCGGGGTCTGATAGGGCAGGGAGAAGCTTCTCCCCAGCACCTGGATGGGGGGTGGCCCCAACGCCTTAATTTCAGACTGTGGCCTCCAGAGTGTGAGTAAATGTGCCCTGTCCCTCGAAGCCAGCACATGTGTGCTGATTTCTTCCAGCAGCCCTAAGAGATTCGTCCATCCTGGGGGGCAAGAGCCATTGTTACAGTTTATAAGAGGCTGGGTGCAGGCTCAGAGCCCCACAGCCCATCAGCCCAGAGCCCGGATTCAAATCCAGGAAGTTGGGGTGCGTGGCGTCAAGCCTGGGCTCTGCCCCATGGCTGGCACCTTCTCTGGCTTCCCGTGACGGCTGGGCTCTGCCCACCAGTGGCACCCCTTGATAAAGCCCGTGGGGGTGGCGGGGTGGGGGTGGGGCAGACAGTCCCCGGGAACATGAGGGCGGCAGCAGAGGAATGGATGGCTGACCCAGAACTGGGGCCAGAGAGGCAGATGGAGCCCTCAGGACCCCAGCACTGTCTTAGCCACTCACTGTGTGCGGGGCCTGTACTCACCCACAGATGGGTCCTTCTCCCAGCCCACTGATCTATGGGGCTGCCCTTGACCTCCCCCTCACACCAGCAGGGGCCCTTGGGGCACAGAGATGGACTTGCTCTTGGTCACAGAACAGGAAAGAAGCGTGAGCCCAGGTCTGCCAGTCTGCCAGGCCCATGCGCTTTGAGAGCGCGGGGAAGTCGAGGAGGAATCAGCCTTGGATGCGGGTGACGCGGGACGCCCATGTGTCCACGGTTGGAGCAGCTGGGTGGGGGCTTGTGGAGGAGATTCAGAGGGGACCTCCCCCTGGGCCACCCTCCAACGGGAAGGCAGCGGAGAAGTCTGGGGAGTGGGCCCGGCACGCACACACACACGCGCACCGCGCTGAGGAAACCAGAAAGAATTCCGCGAAGACTCTTTATTGACTCTTTTCTGAAAGTCTTTCTCTCTGCGGCAGCGGCAGGAACCTCTTCCTGGGTCACCAGGCCCCGGGTCAGGAACGATCAGGAAGGTCAGGAACGGTCTGCTTGGTCTGCCTGGGCTCGGGGCCCTGCTGGTCCTCCGCATCCTCCTCCTCGCTCTCCCCCCGCCGCTCAGGCTCCATCAGCAGCAGCTGGCCCTGCACCGGGAGCTCCTCCTCCTCCTCCTCCTCCTCGTCCACGTCCTCCTCCTGCTCCTCCGGCTCCTCCTCCTCCTCCTCCTCCTCCTCCTCCTCGCCCTCCGACGACAAGGAGAAGTTGTCCTGACTCACGCAGGCCACGAGCTTCTTCATCGAGGACTCGTGGCCCCGGCTGTGGCCCGTGCCAAGCTTGGCACAGTGGGAGCCCATCGTCCCCTCTGGCTGCCTCTCTGGACTAGGAGGGAAGGCCCCCTGGGCAGTGGCGGGGCTGTGAGGGCGGGAGGCGGGGCTCTGACATCACAATGGGGCCTCGGAGTCCACCCTTGCTGGGATACCTGCCTCTGGGCCCCGGCTTGGCGCAAGCCTCTCCCGGCCCTGTTGCCTCCTCCATCTGCATCATTTGTTCTGGCAAAAGCCTGTTTCAGGTGGATCGAGAGTTGGGGGTAGAATTTCTGCAAATTGGAGAGCATGGCCATGTGTCCGCGTTGTAGCTACCTCCGGGGACAGAAGGGGAACTTTGGGGCTGGGAGTTTAAAGTTTCTTGACCTGGGCGGTGCCTGCGCCGGGCCCTTACAACTCTGCCTTTGCGTGTCAGCTGCACTTGCACAGAACTAAAGCAACCCTGCTTACAGTTTCCCACCCTCAGAATCAGCCCCTAAAGGCAACGGCTGCTGAGACCTAAAGTGGGTCTCGGGCCGCGCCTGCACACCCCACTGATTCTCAGCATGGGGGGAGGGGAGGCAAGGACCACTGTTAGGGGACTTGGTCATTTCCAAACATGAGAAAACCATGGAAATCACATCTTCTGCCCCAAATCTCAGTGAGACCCTCACGGATTCCACTGTGCTGGATTATCCCGGGGCTGGGGCGGGCACTAAATGCAAGCACGGGTGTCTCCCAAGGGCCACACGTGTTCACGGACTTCACAAGGAGGCACCGAGACCATAGCCAAGGGCCACACATGGTCACTTTTGTGTTGACCCATGGGCCTCTGGGCCTCACAGAATCCCGCCCCCTTGCTGCTTGCTCCTTCCACGAAAACCTTGTTCTGGCTGGAGCATACCAGACCTGCTGCCCTCCCCAGCACGATTCACCCAAACACCCAACACCCCAGACGGGGCTTCATCGTTGGACATGGGAAGGTCAAGGTGGACTCCAGCCTTGGTTGCGGGTGACAAAGGATGCCCATGGGGGACTTGGAGCCCCTGCCTGCCCTCTGCCCCCCAAGGAAGGCAATTTTGTGCCATTTGCATGAAAGAGACTCCGAGAGGCCAGCAAGTTTCTAGTCAAGCTTTATTTGGTGACGACTTTGCTCATTTTACTCAAGATCTTGTGGACTCCTTGGCGACTCAAGGCTTGAACATCCAACATAAGGGGTTTCTATGGTCTCGTTGGCTGGTTCTTTGGTGGGTGAACTTCCAACCAGGGTCGTGCTGTGCCCAGGAAGGTTTAGTGCCTTCTGCATCTTCTGCCCCTTCTGCTACCTTTTGAAAGAAAAAAATTCTCGTTATAGGGGATCTGGGTAGGGATGGGGATATGGGACCGGATGGGGTTGGGGTTGGGGTCCCAGGCCTGGGGTCGCCCACCTGCTGAGCCTCTGCAGTGCTTCCTGCTCCTGCTGGTATGTCTCCGGCGCCGCTGGCCTGTGCGGACCCTGTATAGCCTCTTCCGGGAGCAGTGCCTGTGCCTGTAGTGGTAGCGACCTCGGTGGGTCCTTCTGTCCACCTGAATGTCCTCTGGGCTTGACCCTGACCCGGGCTCCTGCTCCTGGCGTCTGTCCTGCTGCCTGTGCCCCTGGTGTGGACGCTGGCTCTGGCTTCTCCTGCGGTATCCGACCGTCATGCTCGCAGGTCTGGCCCCTTACACGGAGGCTGCGGCTGGCCTTAGAGGCAGGGAAGGATGGTCGAGGCCTGCCCACCTGCTCTTGCTGGTAATGTTGGTCTGGTCTGCAGGCGCTCTTTGGGGACTTGTATATAAAGGGGAGCCCCCACTATGACCTGGCAGCCGCACCCCTCCATTGTCCCCACCCTGGCCAGCCCTCAGCCAGTCGGACCCAGCAGGGCAAGCCACCAACCCCCCCCACCCCCCGCCGCCTGGCCTGTAATGCATATCCCCTGGTCCCCAGCTTTTTTCCCGTCCAAACCCAAGCCTTCATCCCCCCAGCTGGAGGGAACCTCCTCAAACACCGTTGGGGCTCTGCCATGGTCTGGGGGGGCTTCATTACTGGTTATCCGTCATTGTTGTGGCCACACAGTTGGCTTTGAAGTGATAGTAGCAGGCGGTTTCCTCGTGGGTACCCTGCGCCAGGCATTATCATGACTTTCATTTGCTCTTCTGGTCGCCAGGAGGTGAAGTGACTTTCTCAAGGCCACCCAGCTCACTGGGGGCCAGGCCAGGCTCCAGGGGCAGGCCGCCTGCTTCAGAATCCCCGCCCTTGGCTCTTCCCAGCCCAGAGGCCATCTGCCCCCCAGCCCTGCCCTCCCCCGGGTCTCCCCTCGTCCTGTGCTGGCCCCGTTACAGCAACTGAAGAGCCAGTTTCCCTCTCTGGAGGGCCGGGCGGAGTGGCCGGCTGTGCCATCCTCCCAAAGATTTCTTCAGCATTGATTGACAGGGCACACGTGCCTGACCGGGACTGTCCCCTGACGTGGCAGAAGGGACTTGCTGGGTGGGCACGGGGGTCTTGACACGGGGATCGCCCCAGTGGGCTCGGTGTCATCGCCTGGCTCCGTGTATACGGGGGGGCAGGGGGTGCATGTTGGCCTTGAAGATGGAGACAGGACCATGAGCCCTGGCGGTTGTGGCCTCTAGGAGCTGCGAAAGGCCAGGACGTGGGGTGCTTCCACGTCTCAAGCAGGAGCACAGACCTGCCCACACTTTAATTTTAGCCCCAAAAGACCTCTTTGGGGGCCTCAGAACTGTGAGATAATAAATTCGTGCTGTGTTAGCTATGAGGCTCGTGGGAATTTTTTGCCCTCACTAGTTGCTGAACTGGCACCGGGGAGTCGTCACCCTGGTGTTCACAGCGCCTTTATCACACCAGAGCCCTCGGGCTCCCCGGGGGCACCTGTTAAAAGTACGCATGCCCGCGCCTCACACCTTGCCTGTGTGTAAGGGTCCGCCTGGGGCTCCACACCCGGCGGCCAAGTCACTGGGGTCACGCTAGCCTATTCAGTGGGCTCTACTCACTGTCCTCACTGGAAAGAGTCTGGTGACACAATACCCCAAGGTGTTCGATACGGAGGTGGTGCCCCGTGTCCAGGTGCTAAGGTGCCCTGGGCAGAGCCACCAGCTGATGTGACTTGGGCTCCGTGTCAAAGACTGGCCGCTCCTCCGAGCCAAGCAGGCCATGTCTGGGGGCGGGGGGCTTCCTTTCGCCCGCGTCTCGTGGCCTTCAAGCCCCCGCGTTGTCACGTGCGTTGAGTGGGCTGGGGCCGCACGAGGGGGCCAGGTTACCTTGTTTTCACAGGGGGATGTGCTGAGTATTCAGTGTCAAGGCTGCCTGGGGAGGTCATCATCCCTGTACCCAAATGGACACCTAGGACTGCCACGTGACAGTTTCGTCCTTTTTCTTTGGGGATTGGCGGGGCAGGGGCTGGGGCAGGGAAGGCCAGCCCTGACTTGTGGCCTAGTTCAGTCAGCCAATGAAATCACTGGGTGCAGAGCTGGGGAGATCCCCAGTGTCACGGGATTCACCCAGGAGTGGGTGGGGAGGCAGATCTTGGTTGGGATTTGGGATCCCTCCCCCGCTTCCAGTCCTCGAACCCTCTCCCCAGCAAGCGCCCGCTCAAGGCCAAGAGACCAGACTGGAATGATTTTTTCAACATTTATTGACAGGCGGCATTGTTCGTTAGCAGGCTCCTGTTCATTTCATCGGGATGGTGGTGGCGTCGTCAAGATGTGCGAGAGGTGTTGCAGGCTGGTAGAATCTCAGGCAGGAGTGCGGTGGTCTTGCTAGTGCACGTTTAGTATCTTCTGCACCTCACCGTGTAGCGACGGCAGCACACTAGGGGACAGGAGAGGGTGAGCAGGGATCCCGCTCAGGTTGAACCCTGCCCCCTGCCACCCCCACGAGCAAAGCCCTGTTACCTCTCCTCCTCCTCCTCCGACAACATCGCCTCCTTCGTCTGCGACACCGTCTCCTCCGGCGGCGGCGGCATCTGCTCCGGCTGTAGCTGCGGCAGCATCTGTATCTGGCCATGATACTGGATGGACTAGGCCTGGATGCTCAGAGCAGAGGCACCACCTTAGTTGAGCCAGCCAACCTGTGAGCAGGTGGTATTTTGGGGCTGTGAGCCAGGGGGCAGCTCTGGGCCTCTTATAGACGTGGGCCCCCTCCCCGGGCATTGTGAGGTGGCATTGGCTGGCCCTCACAGAGATGCTGGGGCCAGCCAGCAACATGTCCGTATATGGGCATGTGGGAGGCCTGGGGGGGCAGGGCGGGGCTGTGACACCTCGGGGTCTCCCGTGTCACCAGCCAAGGGGAACACGATGAAGTCTCTAGTGACAGTCCCTCCGTCTTTTAATCTGCCAATTAACCAAATATCACAGAGCACCTGGTAGGTGCCAGATTCTGGGCGAGGCTCCAGGGTCCAGTGATAAATCAAATAAACACAGTCCTACCTAAGTTAAGATTTTATTATGTGGCTATGAGAAACACAAGTGGAATAACCACATGGCATAACTGTAGTTGTGGAAAAGACCAAGAAGGAAATGTCAGGTTTTTATGAGGATAGATAGATACGGGGGTCGGGGGGACTCGGCCCCATGGGAGGCCCTAGGAAAGCCCCCTAAGGAAGTACTGGTGAAAATCTCTGACGGACAAATCAGAGTTGGAGGGGGGAAAGGCATCTGGGAAGTGGGAACAGTCTGTGCGAGGGTCAGAGGCAGTCCGTGGCATGTGATTCTGTTTATGTGACATGTCCGGGAGAGGAAAATCCCCAGGCAGGAACTGACTGGCATCTGCCCAGAAAGGGGTAGTAGGGGTAGGGGGTGTGTCCACTTAATGGGCACAGGCTTTACTTTTGGGGTGATGAAAATGTTTTGGACCCAGATCGTGGTGATGGCAACACCCCTTGTGAGTGTGCTAAGTGCCACCGAATGTTGAGTGAGCTGCTTAAAATTTTTCACTTTATAATGATGAGTTTTACGTTGTGTGACTTTCACCTGGGTTGAACAAAAAAAGTTCCAAGGCTGCAAGGTGCTAGGCAGGTGTGGGGGATCAAAGGCAGGCCCACAGCGTGGTTGGAGCAGAGAACAGAGACCAGTGCGGGCAGGTGGGGCCAGACCCCACTGAGCTTCCTGTGG